TTGACACTCGCCGATTCGCATCGGCGAGCTCGCGTTCCATGAATTCTTGTGCCGCAACGCGCTGCTCGTCGGGCGTCGCTGAGCGCAGCAGCGACGTGACGACGGCTTCTCCGGACACCGCCGCAAGGCGGCGGAGAGCTTCCCACTCGATCCGAGTGAGATGAAAAAAGGCAGCGTGGTCGAGGTCTTGGCTCATGTCGAACTTGTTCGTTGGAAGGACTACAAAGTGCTACCAGGTGTAACGGGCCAGGTATTTACTCCGTTACTTGCTTACACTATAGTGTTGAGGAAGCTCGCAATAAGACGACTGAGGCTTAGGTTTAAGGAAAATCAACTCTGACTTTATTTTAGGACCAAGGCGACAGCCCTGGCCACTCAAATACACGTCATAGTCCAATTGGCTAATAATGGGTCTGGCTCCCCATATATCAGCCACTGGCATGACAGCATTTCAGCACACGCTAGTCGTGTGCTGATGCACCTACTTATGTAAAGAAATCTACCTACTATGTAATGGAGGGGCCCATTACAACTGGACTCTCTTGCTCTCAGCAACGTCGACTTGTCCACTCAGCTCTCATCGGCACAACAGCAGGTGTCTCGATTGGAGGCTGCTGCCGCGCAGTCTGCAAATTTCCTTGCTTCATTGCGAAAGGCTGTAGCTCTGAGCGAGGCAAAACTTGCTCGGGCTATCGCGGCTGAGCAGAGCAAGGTTGACGCTGCGTTGGGTCAGGCCCAGCTCCATCATCAGCAGGTATTGGATCGAGACGCCAAGATCGACCTTCTTCACCGATCCATTTCCGAGAGGGATGCGACGTTCGGCACTCTTCAGGGCATCGCTTCCAAGCATTTCGAGCAGCTGCAGTAGTCGGTGCGGTTGTACTGATCCATCGGCACTCAACCTTTGCGGCACGCTCAGTCGGTGATCGCTGAGCAGCGGGCTGTGACCTTGCGACAGTAGCGGCTCATCCGTCGGAATGGCATTATTCCGATGCACGACCTTCACATGGCTGCTGCTGCTGCTGGCGGTGGCTTGTAGGTTCCTGGACTTGATCCGTCCGACCTTCTCCTTAACGCCCGGCTGTGTCGTGTCTTGGAGTCTCGCTTCCCTAAGGTTCTTCATATTCCAGCCGGTGAAACTCGGCGGTTGGAGTTGATTGTCCATCCTCGCCTAGATGCTCCAGTGGCGAGTTCCGCTATTGGTCCTAGTGTGGCTCCCCCAGCTAGTCAAGCGTCTTCTGTGACTTCATTGGCAGACTCGGCTGCGGCTCTTGTCAGCTCAGCGGCGGCTACGAGCCAACCCGAGCCGACCCTCGCCCAGCTTCACCGTACGCCTTTGGCGAACTTATATTCGACTCAGCGGCTTCGACGTTATGCCTACCCAAAGTCTCCCACTGCTGCAGGTCCTCGTCATCGTCCACCGGCGCCGCATCCGCCTCAGTCGTACGCTTGTCTACTTCCCGGGGAGGATGGACACGAGGCTATCAGTGCCTCTTTTGCACTCAAGTTCTCATCAAGCTACTATGTCCGATGGAGGAAGGCCCCGCTCTGGAAAGTCCCGTCGTCGGACTCGGCGGAAGAAGGTTCATCACCTTCAGCTGCGTTCTGCTACCCAACCCGCTGTCTCTGTTCGCTCTGAAGACGACGATGACGCTTCGAGCGAAGCTGAATTCGAGTTTGAGTTGCCTGAACCGCCCGCCGACACCGTTCCTGCGGTTTCTTCGACGACTTCGGCGGGTTCTTCGTCTTCCGGTCCTCCGTTGACTTCGTCAGTCGCGGCTACTCGCCCACCGCTGGTATCTTCATCCGACGTCGTGGCTTCGCTGCCTGTCCCGGCTACGAGCGTTTGTGCCCCAGGCTCGACTTCGCCCACCTCCGCTGGGTTGCCCCAGTCAAGTGCACCGCTCAGCGTCGTGTCAACGGTGGTTGGGCGCTCTCAGTCGTCTTCTGGCCGATCCTCTCACGTCACTCCTTCTCGGGGTCTGAGCGTATCCACTACGCCGACTGACCTAGTGACTCCGGCCGTGAGTGCCCTCAGGCCGTCTCTCCCTGCGAGCTCGGCCGTGTTGACGTCCCCGTTTGGGCGCTTCATCCAAAGATCTGCTGCGACCGCCCACACTGTGACTGCTCAGCTGCTTGAGGACCTTGACGCGTCTGACGACGAGGTGTTAGGGCCTGGTGACGGTTCTGCACCGTCCGCCGGCTCGACGAATCCTGCCGCTGGGTCGCTCTTGGATCCCATTTCTTTATCCGAAAACTCTGCTGGCAGTCCTTAATGTTCTGACATTAGCGGCCGAAGAGGCTCATCGTTCTGCTAAAGCGAGAAGCCTTCATGCGGCAATCTTCGGCTCTGACGATGAGATGAGTGATGAGTCCTTGCCGCCGCGTAATCGCCACTCCTCGCGGCATTCATCGAGGGATTGTGGTGACGGGACGCGTTCTACCTCTGCGTCGGCTTCGGGGAAGCAGCAGCGTCGCAAGCGTCGTGCCTCGTCGATTCCTCCCGGTCACCGGTCGTTGACCTTCACACAGTGAGCTAGGTGTCACTTCACCTGCATCTCCTGGGCCACGCCCATGATGCCTCGACTAGCAGTCGACCGCGACCCTCGGGTCACGCAGCGGTAGGTCATCGACCAGATTCGTACCACTCAGTGGATTACGCGCCACTCCGCGCTCGTCCTCACCAGGACCCAGCAGCTGGTCATTGACCTGACCTGCACCGCTCAGCGGATAGCGTGCCGCACCACGTACGCCCTCAGGGCAAACAGCAACCTCGTTGCTAACAATTTCGGACATACCAATGTCCAGCACAACGGCCGCCTCGGCCTCGTGCTCGCGCCAAAAGCGCTTCTGCTTCCAAGCAGAGGTGGGTTCATGACTCACCAAAGCTCCACTAGGAGCAGGGTGCGACGCACCCAGCGTTTTCGACTTCCAGTCGATCCATGTCTTATGGCGCTCTAGCCATGCCATGCCAAGGATGAGGTCATACCACGCATCCAGGTCTAAGACGGAGCAGGATTCCACGCCATCGAAGCTCTCAAACTTCACTCCAAGGTCGACAGAGACCTTCGACACAGTTACCAGTGTCCCCGTCGCGAGACGGACAGAGACGGCATCTCTCGTTGGCACTTCCAGTGCCTCAGCATACAGCTGACTCCCTTCCAGGGTGGAGCGACGGGTGTAGTTGCCCGAGGCTCCCGAGTCAATCAAGACTCTCCATGGCTTTGCAAAGCCCTTCACGCTCGCTTGAACCACCAGCAAGCCCGGCTTGCACACACTCTTCTCGTAAGAGAGCTCAGCTCTCTTCGGGGCTGAGCCCCGTTGTTCTCTACCTCTTCGAGGCACAACAGAACTCAGTTCTTCCCCAGTAGGCTGGGAGTTGCCGTTTCCCGGCGATGACCCGGAGGGTTGGCTCGCCGGAGCCTCGCGCTTCTTGTGCAGAGGGCAATAGGCCCTCAAGTGCTTAGTGCTATTGCACACAAAGCATCGGCGGATGCCGGCGCGCTGCTCCGCAGCAAGAAGCTCTGCTTCTTCATCTTCAGCAAAGCTGAGGTCCATCGGCTCTGGAACGCTCGAAGAGCTTGCGCTACTATCGCTCCAACCAGGTCGAGCCGACCTGAAGTTGTGCTCGGCATTTAATGCCAAATTCACCGCCTCTTCTAAAGAGTTAGGGTGTACACGGAACACTTCCGTTCGAGCTGCGCTCACACGAAGTCCCTCCACGAACACGGTCACGCTGACCGGTTCTAGAAGAGGGTCCGCCGCCATTCCGGCGATAGTAGTTCTCAGCTCTTGGACATAGTCGAATAACCCCTTCTTACCCTGGCGGGTAGCAAGGAACTTCGACCGGAAACGGTACGCCTGATGAGGCGGCGCGAACACGCGCGAAAGCTGTTGCTTCAGCTGATCCCAAGTGGGAAATGCAGCGTCAACAGACGTGCCGCACGTTAGTGCCCATTCGCGAGCGCGACCTCCAAGCCTGGAGATAGCCAGCGCCACGCGCTGATGCTCAGACTGGAGCAGGGCCGATTCCATGGCCATCTCGACCTCACGGGTCCAGAGAAGGAGATTCTCTCCATCCTTCCCCTCGAAGGTTTTTACGCTCTCCATGAGCGGTTTTAGTCTCAAAGACCCTTCACGCGTCATCGACGCCGCCGCCGTTGCGGCGCTCATCTTCTCTTGGACATGCTCCAAGAGCGCGTTCTCGTAGCGGGAGAACGATTTCAGCCTGGCAGTGACCGCCTCTGGACCTTGCGATGCAAGATGAGCCACGCCCTCCGGGCCAAGCAAGGACATAAGCTTAGTAAGCGCGTCCTGCTGCGCCGGGGGAAAATTCGCGAACACGGGGTGTTCCATCCTCACAGAGGATATAGTCAACCGACTCAGGAGCGGGATTGACTACAAGTGCTACCAAGTGCAGCGGGGCTGCCGTAGCTTTAGCGTCAGAGGAAGACGTTCGACTCAAAGAGTCACTAATATTAAGTTCCTTATCCAAAAGACACTTACAGCCCAAGACCAGGGCTCAAAGTTAATACCTTAACTTTATGCTTCAAAACCAGAAGTGTTTTATTTACTATTATTGCGGCCAAGCCGCCTAGGGGTAAATGTATCTGTTTAACTATCTAGCATAGTTAATCTAATCAAATGCATAACGTGTGGCTTTCGGCCAACGTACTGAGAGACCTTGTTAACTCTCCAACTTATGTACTGAGAGTTTGTTAAATCTCCGGGTACTTCGTACCCCTGTGTGTTCCACACCATGTAACCCCGTTACAACCATGAGGTAGCGCAATCGAGGAATCCATGTATGGTTCACCACGTAACGGAATTCTGGTAGCGAAAGCCCTAGACGTTGTACTCGATCGGCGTCCGACACTATTCGTTGCCATGTTGATCTGAGCGACGCCGCCCACTGGTCCTCGCCGCCTTGATATATACCAAGACGTTTAAAGCCTTGCTCTGGTGACATAATTTGCACTCGTTGTGGTATTCCGAGGTTGTCATTTAAGTGCACCGCTGGGTAATGCTCCGTGGGCCTAGCGAGATACATCTGGAACGACTTCGCTTAGCCAAAAACACCTCCTGTGGCATATTTACCAGTAAACATATTGGTGACCCTCGCACGATTCACCAGTCCATTATATGATGCGTCCAGTTGATCGTCCACAAACATGGTGCTGGCAATGTTAATCCCGTGGTCTTTCTGACTATGTCTGATCACGACAGGGTCTACGCATTTCTCGAGCTGCTCTTGTAGGCAGTCCATGTACACTCCGATGTGTAGAATAGCGAGGACCGAGCCCTGACCAATGCCGAGTTCACGCTCCCCTGTGGCAATCCATCCGAATGATGTTCTCTCTTCAATTTCACCTGGTCCCAGTAGATCGATCATCAGTTTTCGCACGGTGTCCGGAACTCCTAGTCCAAGACATATGAGCTCCATAACCCACGCGGGGATACAGCCATAGCACTTAAGACAATCTTTAGATACTAGTAGGAGTAGCTCCTTCTACTCCTTTGCTCGATCAATTAGCAGTGTTGTCATTAGTGCGGCGTCTATGACAGACATGTCCGACCAGAATCCGTGTTGCAGAAGACTGAGTGGTATGCCACCATCGACAAACTGCTTTATTACAAGAAAGAGTCGGTTGGCGAAGGCAGCTTGGACCGTGATCGGCCGCCATGGTGGTAAACCCTTAGACACATCTAATGTTGGGTTCACATTCGGCGTTTTTCGGCAGGAATACCATTTGTTTCCGGCGTAGTATTTTCGGAGCTAGTCCGATACGTAGGATTAGCTCAATAATCTCCCGTTCTCGCTGCCTCACTTGTGCTGGAGCTGAAATTAACATCTCTTGGGAAATCCCACCGTACCCTGGTACAACATGTTGCTTCAGTTGTTTATCAATCTCTGCTTGCATCGCCGCCGTGTAGTGGTAGTCCTGCCATGTTATGCCGGCAGTCTGCCACGCGGCGGCGTACCGTCCTCCTCGCACGATATCAGGAAGAATCCATTCCTGTGCAAATTGTGGAAGTGTATAAATATCGTCCGGATTCAGAGTGTCTAAGTACCGTGGCCTGTTTGTCCTTTCATCCACGAGTATCCAATTGTCTAGTAAGGCCGTTAGCTGCCTTTGCACCTCCGCCCTGTCTTCATTGTAACTCGGCCCAGTATCGCCCGGTATTATGGCACTGCGGATAGATCCCGGCGGGGGTCGCTTAGTTAAAGAGCTCTGGAGGAACGCCTTAGTCGCCCCACTGACAAACCCGTTTCGGCGCCGTTCGTGGCATAGTCTGCACCGTGTTGTTTGTCTCCAATTTTGGTGTGTCCGAATTGTCTTCCTCCAACGTTTAATGATAGACATAAACCACTCGACCCAGTCGGATATCTGCAAGGATTCGGGTGGGTTAACTTGCGCGCTCCTTTCTGATGACAGCTCCCTTCGACCATCGTATCGGGGAACGCAACCCACCTCGGCCAGCATATCGTCCCAGCGGCCACCTGAATGTCGTCAATAGCAATATATGCTTGGTCTAGGACGATACGCGCTTGACGCAGCGGGGCTGTGCCCGGGTTACTCATATACACACAGCTCGCGCCAGTTGCCGTTTGGAATGGGTGCTTTCTCCCCAAAGGTTCCTGGCGCTCAGACAGAGACAGGAGTATAGGTTGACAATCGCTTGTTCAAGCCACACTAGTATCTCGTCAGGTGTGCTGGTGGCAGCCTCGATATCATCAATAAGACAGATTTCGCCAGAGTGTAACATTGTCCGTCTGTGCTCTCTAAGCACCTGCGTCTCCTCCTTCGTTTTCTGCCGTGTATTAACAACCTTGATGGGGGTAACATGTTGAAGGGTAAAAGCAATCCGCGCCCCACGATCTGTCCGCATGACTACCATAGGCACACCCGAGTGGTTGCTCGTTGTAACGCTGTTAATCCATATCGCGCTAGCTGTAATCGCTGTCTCGTGCTCTCCAGAGATGTAAATGTCGTCCAGCGTGGACCGAGTACCCTGTCTGGAGTGTGTATACCGAGGTGTCTAGATCGAAATATAGAGACTCTTCCGAAAGATTCCGTCCATGCTGCAAATTGCCGGCTCACCCCCTGCGAGCTCGCGGAACGAACTATGGTCCCTGATCTATCTAGCACGTCGTCTGTGTAGGTGTTAAAGTCTCCCGCCACCATGTCCAGAACACACCGAGCCCGGCCCGTTACCACACGCTCGTGAATCCATGCCCACTCATCGTGTACTTCATCGAGATGCCGTTTCGGGGAGTAGTGAATGTACGTGCCAATCATCCATAACTCTTGCGCTTTGGCTAGCCGTACAGCAACGCACAAGGACCTCCTTGTGGGCGAGTAACATACGCTACGTTTGCTCACTCTGTTATCCCATCGCTCCTTGTTGAACACCATTGCAATCTGTTTGGTGCCGAATAGAAGAAGGCCTGGTATTGGTCGTTGGGTATCGGCAGTCGCTACCCCGATTTGCTCAGAGGGTTACCGGCGGAGTCCGGGATCACTTACAAATGCTAGGTCAATGCCATTCGCCAGTATCCATCCAGCTAGCTCCTCCTCCATTTTATGCCGTAAGGTTTCTTAATTTTCACCGTACAAATGCAAATATCGTGCCCCGCGTCGATCATTGATGGAAACTCATCGACGATGTAGTCCCCCGAGTAGTGCTCCCGCTGAAGAATGGACTGAAGGATCGTGCTTTGGTCAGGTGCACGCGAGCTTGGAATAACACACCGAGTAGGTCACCACCGGCGACGGTATCGACACCCTCGCTCCGCTCTCCGTGTAGTGGTATCCATATTCGCACATCTTTGATCCTCTAGCACGGAGTCGTCGGATCCACTCAGGGAGTTCATATCCAGGCTAGTCTCGCTGTAGGCCTCGGGCGTTACCAACGTCGCTCATGATTGGGTCTGAAGGTTGTCGTTCTTAACCACAGCTGCCCTTGTTAACTGACCTGTCAGTGTCATAAACAGTGCTATCATCCACAGAATGTTACTTAAAGCCCATTTTGCTTGTTCTGGAGACCACACCTGGTGTATGTGGCCTCCTTACGCAAAATATGGTCTCGGTGCGTGGCAAATGTTTGTTTCGTTCGGTGAATCGCCCATTGCGTCGTCTTGGTCTCCACTGCGCTGCTGACCCTGGGGTGTTGCGGCAGCAGTCTGCTTCGCAAGAGCGAGCTCGACAATTTGCTCCATCCTTGCGTTCCAGATCTCATCCATCCCATCTAATCGTTTTTCAAGAGTCTGACAACGTTGTTCGGCCGCCTTGCAATAACGCGTCATGTTTGCTAGTGATGTGTGTACAGTGGCCGTCTTGGCTTCAATGGCACGCTCCATCAGCGCTCAGCGTCGTTCATGTTGTGAGGTACCGTAAGTTGACTAGTGCTTGGAGTCTGACGTGTGTTTGATCCACGTGCGTCTCGGTGTTGCTGAGTTGATGTTAGTTGGGGGCAATTGCGGCGGACATGACCGGTTTAATAACATTGCCAGCAGTCATTCCCACTTCTTGCTCGAATCCGTAGCGGCATGTCACCGACTTGTAATTGTTCGACAGCTTCTAACCCGAATTGGCGGAGTACCTCGTGGACTTCATCGGCTAAGCTAAACATTACCACCGCAGACTTGCTTAGACCTCTTCGTACCTCACAGATTCCGGCGTGTATCCAGCACGTTGAAAAGCCTCCTTGAGAATTAACGTTTTCATCTCACTCGTAGCGCCATAAACGATGACACCTATCGAGCATCGTGCCTCACAAACGTTTTTTGTCAAACGAATTAAGACTTTTCGCGCTAGGTCCCAATCTGTGTTACGCACCAGACTGAGGGTAATTGTGTCGGCAGGATTCTCCCTTCTGCGCCTGCGATGTTTTGCTGTCTGAAGGTTGTTAGCGTACATTGAGTTGGCTTTACCTGGACTTGGAAAGAACAAACGAAATGAGTACAACAGCGGCGATGTCCTTGCAGCGTATCGCATGCTTGCCGCCGGAGACCATTTTTGCTTCTCGTTCATGTACATGGCGTGTGGCACAACCAAACAATTTGTGGCTCCCTACTGCTTAACGTTATGATGTAGCTGAGTTGGAGATACGTAATTTCCGTTGCGGTACTCTAGCTCATTCAGAGACAAGTACGTGGCCAACATGCCAGTGAACGCGGGCTGTACCCATACCAATGCCACTGTATCACTGGTGGTGATGGGGATATATCCCTTCTTCATCAGTTGCCACAGTGACCGGTCTTGCCGTACAGGAACTCCTTTGAGATACGCCTGGTCCTTTAGCTCGAGAAAAGAGGTCATTGCCTTCGAAGTTGATGCCATTCGGCTGACAGAACTTCAGGATTTCTGTCCTGAAGTCAGCCAGCTTCCACTCGCAATAGTTAGATACCACCATCGAGAACGGCTTCATTAAAAAGCACACTTGCACGAGCCCTCGCCCAACTTCTGCCCACTAATAATTTGCGAGATCGTCCAGAAGCTCCGTCTTGACTTCGCGTTCTTCTGTTTCCGGTCGGGCCAGTGGTGTCCGGTGGTCTGCTGATGTCAAACTGGTTCTTAAGCGCTTTAAGCCGACAGCTAGGACCTTTTGATGCCAACGGGTACGTGCTGGGTTTTTCTCCATGCTTTCGATCCACGCGCGCGATCCCTGTGCGGGCTCTGCTTCCGTTCGGACATTGGGTCGGCCCTACACCACCTTGATTAAAGTCCAGGTGCTCGCCGATGCCTTCGGTAGCGCCCGCCACACCTCCATCACCACTAGGGCCGTCGTGCTGCTAGCTGCGCTCAGTCTTATTTGCCTTTATGTAAGGGGTCGTCTTGCTCGTGTTTAATTCCGTATGCTGTGTATAAGTCAAAGAATTTTTTGGTCGGGGTTTCTTTGGAGCTTCGCCCGCTTCGAGGGCACTTACTCCCGAACACTTTTAGCCTTGGTGCGACGCGCCGCTTGCGCAGTAGACCACCACAAAGTTTGTCCATCTTCTCTTGGCCGTTCTACAAGAGCGCGTTCTCGTAGCGGGAGAACAATTCCAGCCTGGCGGTGACCGCCTCTAGACCTTGCGATGCACGATGCACCACGCCCTCCGGGCCAAGCAAGGCGGCTCTCCTTCACTGCCTCAAAGGCTCCGTCGTGGTCAACCTACCAGCACCATAGTGCGTCCTTCTTAAGGGGGCTGTTAATGGCCGAGCCATTTCCGCGTAGTTTGCGCTGTACTTGTGCATGTATTTGGCTAAGCCTAGCCACTTGCGTAAGTCGATTTGGTTTTTGGGAACCGGCCAGTCCACAATGGCATTGGCTTTGGTAGGACCTGCCCTTAAGCCTCGCTTCCCAATGAAGCACCCAAGGAAAGGTATTTCCTCCGCGCCAAACTCGCACGTGTCCAAGTTGGCATACAAATTTATAGTGCGCAGGCACTCGAGTACCGCTCGCAAGTGGTCAATGTGGTTCTTCACGTCTGACTTTCCGTGCTGAGCACGCCTATAGACGAATATATCATCAAAGTACGTTTGAACGCACGCCCGATGGGGCCTAAACAGCTGTGTCACTAGACGATTGAAAGTTGCTGGTGCGTTCGACAGCCCCTGGGGCATCACCTGCCACTTCCAGATCATACCGCTCGGGGTACTCACCGCTGTCAGTGGAATGTCCCTCGCTCTCATGAGCAGCCGGTAGTAGCCATTGACCAAGTCGAGTGGGCTGTCCTGCTTACGGCCTACCATGTGGTTCTGCAGAACTTACTTACGAGGAATCGACGTTTGCGCCGGGATAGTGGCCGCATTTAGCTTTTTAAAAGCGTGAGCACTTGCCGTTCGACTTTCTGACTCAGAACGTGGGTTTCGAGTGCGGAGACTTACTCTAACGCACCATCCCTGCCGCGTGCTTCGCCCGGAAGAATGCGTCA